TTCACGTTTGCCGTGCAAAAATCCGCGAGGTTATCGAGAGCTACGCTACTGGTAGCGGTGACGAGGAATAACCCGATATATTGAACGAATGGACAGTAATATTGACACACGAATGTTTTCGGCCATTAAAAATCGCAAAGGATACTTTGTCGTATTTTAACGGAATATGAAAAAAATGGCATTCGAGTGGTATGCGATGTGCGCATCGCGTTTTCATATTCAACTCGACAGTTTGATCAATATTGAATTCCAAAACATATTTTCAGCGAAACTTAAATGTGAACGTGAATGTTCAACAAGCACGATTATAAAATAGCAATATATGCAAAAATACTTAGGATTCTTTGCTGCAATTATTTTATTTATCTCTATTTATAATATATAAACATATTACTTTAAAATTTGATCTTCTTATATTGCAAGTCAGGTTTTAATTACTTCAGATGACAAAATAAACAACTATGCTGAAGTAAATTTATCGTTATAATGTATCTTATATTTTAATCAATTTCAAGACATTTTTATTTAATTACATATTTAATTAAATTTTTTTTTATTTTATATATACTAATATAAATATACATATTTAATATAAATATTTTTAAAAAACACGATAGAGAGATGATAGCTCAGTTAAATTTCCTCTAAGATAAAATCGACTGCAGTATTGCCAACGAATTTATCATTAAAAGGAAAGAAAAAGAGAATCTGAGACATAGTAAATATTATATCAAATAAATAACGGTTTTTGCACTATCAGATCGAGCGGTTATATTAAATATTCCGTAACGAAATTATTTTGCTCAAAACATAATTTTTGCAATATCGAAGCTCTCGCCTGCAACATTCATTTAAAATTCGTTTAAAATGCGGAATATATAGTGTGGATTAATATCTACAAAATATCGAAGTTGTTTTGAAACACGCGATTAATGTCCTGGGATGTGACGATGCAACTCGATAAAATTTCAAGCGATCATACAAAAGATTCTAATAATACTGCCATTTATTATGTTTCTCATCTTTGGGAAATAAATCAGTGCCATTATAAACTGTACGTGACCAGATAACGCGTGTGTTAATCTTTCGATTTTTGATTGTGTGCGCTAATCAAGATTGGCGCTAGCCATAATCAATTTTTTCAATCTAAATATTTTTAAAAATAAAATTATTAATATATTTAAAATCGATTTTTACAACACACATAGTATTAATTAATATATATACAAAAAATCTTTGGAGGAGTAAATACTGATAAACATGTATACTAAATTTCTAAAATTTATATCGACATACGTAAATATTCATGTTTTTGAATCGCCCAAATGGAATTTTCGAAATTCTTTTCGATTTTTATTCATCCACTTTTCTTTTGCAATTTTCACATTTTGCACTTTTGGTACTTTCAAATAAATTTCTCATGAAAAAAATGTATTCGCTGAAACTGAACTGTGCGAAAAAGAAAAGTTTGCCCTGTTGCTTTAAAAATCATTAATTTATCCTTGGTTCATTCTCGAAATTACGCAACATTAAATGTTAGCTCATCTGAAAATGGAATCTCGTAGTATTAATATTGATCGGTCGTTTGAATAATGTCTGAATTTTTTTTTCTCCGCGGAATTTAATTCGATATTTATTAATCATGATCGAGGCAGGTAAAATAAACCCACATCACCGTGCGTTTTTTCGCTGATCAATTCCGATTGCTCGTTAACGGTGTTATCGAAGCCAAATGTTAATCTCGGAGAATTTTCACATTACTGTCAGAATAATAGCGCAACCCGTGCCCGTGACAAATGGCGGCTTGTGTACGGCGATTTTAATTGCTCGTTATACGTGGACGACGTCTGACAGACGATATTGCATTCTCGCCACGAGTAGTTTATACATCGCGCGCGTGACGTTGGTTAGTATAATAGGAACAGTATAGTACAGCTCATAAGCGTGACCTTTAGTCCGAAAATTTGCGTGTGAGTGAGTATGTGAATGTGCGCACGTACGTGTAAGGTACACGCGTACAACTACGTTAAGTATGTGGACAAGAAGCGAGCTTGTACAGGTAAGATTGTCGCACAAGAGCGGCGCGTGTAGTCAAAAGTTATGGTAGAAAGGGCAAAGTTTAGAGAGAGAGAACGTAGATCTTATATCCCCACTCGGTGCATAACCGCTCCTCAACCCTTGGTGCGCGGTGACGATGCAAATGTGTGTCTTTTTATGCGTGTCTGTGTGTGTGATTATGAGTGTACACGTGAGCGTATCGTTAATCAATTCCAATACGATTTTATCGAAAAATTTTTTGATTTCATACAAAGTAATCTTTCTCTTAACGCGAGCACATAGAAATTCGATATTTGATTTGTGATAATTTGATTATTTGATTATTCCCAAAGATTTTTTTATATTTTTATATTTTTTATTTTATTTTATATATATATATTTTTTTTGACAATAAAATCGTACTGCAAAAGTTTAATCTCGGTGTCAGCTCACTCGCCAGAAGGATGTAGAATCGTTTTCATTTCGAGTCTCGTGAATCCATAATATCCTTCTCTTTCCTTTCCATGTGAAAAAAGGACAAAGAGAAAGAAATCCTCGCCCCAGACGATACACGTGAGCGTTTCGATCCGCGAGCGTCACGTAGCGGCGCCGATCAATCAGCAAATGCTTTTGCTCGTTCAATTTTAATTGGAGAAGTAAAAATATATATAAATCACACTACACTATACTGCCCGACGTGATACGAGACGGTGATTCCAGCAATTAAAAATATGCTCTAACTATCATAAACTCAACAATCTAAATTGTTGCTCAACAACTTGCTGTCGAGCGGCGCACAAAAAAAGGTTGTCGCCGACAAAATGACACTACGAGAACACACTACGCTCTCGAAGAAAAATGAAAAAACAAAAGAACGAGGAGGAAAAAAGAACAGAAGAACGTGATTGCACACGTCGTAACCTAACGCAAGATAAGCAACTGACGAAACATGCCCAAAAATTAATTACGGCATTCATGGAACGTATGTCGATGAATTGGATGAGTATGCGTGTCCTGGCGACGAACCAAGATTGTGAATCGTAGTGATTTAAAACTGATAACAACCAAACGTGAGTGTTGAAAAACGAAATATGTATGTACATGTGACATACTTGAATACGCTCGATTTGCCAAGTCAGGCAAATTCGGAAATTATAATTGCTCGATCGCATTCGCGGTCACAACTACTTGACTGACTCGGAACGCATACAGCAACGAAAAAACGAGACCAAAGAAAAATTTTGAAAAAAGCCAATCCGGTGCGAAGAAACGAAGTAACTCCAAAAAAAAAAAAAAAACGAAGAAGGAGACACGCACGAGTAAGTGTAAATCATGAGAGACAAATGAGAAAAAAAACGAGAGACAATGATTGGTCAAATGAACGATATATGTATATATAAATATATATATATAGTTTCAGGGGGAAGCAATCTATTCTTATAAAACATGCCCAAAAATATGTTTACGGCACACACAACAAATGTATGAAAAGATAGATAGGTAGATAGATAGAGAGATAGTTCTGCATCTAATCCGTCGCGAGAATTCATCAAATGGTACAGTAAATTAGCTGGCAATGACTTTGTAGTATATGATATCGCTATAGAATCGCAGCGCAGAAACAAACACGTGACTTAAAATACCTATTGCTCGTTAACGTTGCGGCTTAACAATGTTGATGTTAATGCGTTTCTTGCTTGGCCGCGAATTCCCGACGAGAGAAGTGATTATCAGCGGATGATATCAAAGTGTGTGTATGTATGTAGGTATATGTGCGTGTGTGTACATCCGATGACATCCCTGCATCGAGACTTGTGCGCGTGGCGCGACGTTGATGAGGAGAGTTGGCGGAAAATGGCAAACTAACGCCGAATAATGAAACGTTTTGCTGCATCCCTTTCCGACTGCCATTAAACCAGCGTCCTAACGAGTAAACTCATCGGAATTAATCCTTCTGAAATGTCACTAAAACGTTACTAACGGTTCGGTAGAATTCGTGTCACCTAGAAAATCTGTCTGAATTTTGCCCGAATTAGCGAAGCCTGATGTTTAAACTGCAATAATAATATTTATTGCACATTCAGACTGAGAAATTACGTAACATAAGAGTTTGTACAATATGTATGATAGACATCTCTTAGAAATATTTCTTTTATTATATTTTTTAATTATTAATAATTTTAATACAATATTTGAAAATATTGTATTAAATAATAATATTAAATATTTTAAAATGTTGTATTAAAATTATCAATAATTAAGAAATCAAACTATACACGATGATAACATTTCATAGTTACATTTACACGAAAAGAGAAAAGAAAAAAGTAGATGGGTAAAGAACAGCGATTAAAAAATTATAAAAATACGAAGAATATAATTTTACCGCGTATCCCCTGCCTTTCCAAAAATTCAAAGCAAGCTACACAATTTGTTAATATTTCTGTTAAATTACTATAAGCCACCGGAACATTTGTGTGGCATAGCACACAAAGAATTCGCCGAAATGCATTGAAATTACAATAAAATGCACATACCATCTTGTAGTGACAGTGCATGACGGTGGCATCTGGCACTTCTCGTGCATCGTGTACGTATGTAATTAGCCAATTCGTTTTCGCCGGAAATCCATGTGTCTCCGAGAGACTACCCGTTAAAAGCGATATGTCAAGCGCAAACTACCCATTACTAACGTTTTTTCGACGCGGCTTTCAGTACGTCCGCGTTTGCATCGGTCAGTTCTATTTTTTTTTCCGTAATTCACGACGCAATTCGTTCTTCGCAATATTTTTCTTAAAGTATTTTTTTTTTTTTTTTTTTTTTTTTTTTTATTCAGTACGTGCATCGGTCAGTTCTATTTTTTTTTCCGTAATTCACGACGCAATTCGTTCTTCGCAATATTTTTCTTAAAGTATTTTTTTTTTTTTTTTTTTTTTTTTTTTTTTTTTTAAATTAAAATTATGTCGAGTATTAGTTATTATGTAACATGTAATCAAAAAAATTAGATATCATCTACACATCATGAAGATAATATAAGTTAAATGTGAATATTAGATAAATATTAGAAATAATACACAAAGAATAAATGTTAGCAATGTTAAACACACACATATATTAAAGACAGCTGTTAACAATCAAACCAAATATATATAAAAATACTTACAAATGCTTAAAAAATTGTTTGTTAACATGATATATATTCTTTGGCCTTTAAAACAAAATTATAGAGTATATAAAATATGAAGACAAAATTCGAGAAACTTTATAAAATATTAACTCTGTACTTACTTTTCTTTCTCAGAATCATTTAAACACAATTCATCGATTTGTCCAACCATCTCATGAACAGCATTTTCTATAACAAGTCCCTCTTCTTGAACAGAATAAGCTGCCACTTCCAGTTCTACTAAATCCAATCCCATGCTTGCTTTGCTTGGATGAATCTTTATAAGATAATAAAAATTTAGATATAAAGAAAATAATAGAAATGCTAAATAAGTATATTATAAATATAATTTTTTTTAACTTACATTATTTAACATAGAGTGAAGTGGTTCTATTAATGATTCAGGAGATGCTTGCAGCCAAATTAAAAAGTCCTTTATGTATAATTGGTTTAATATGTATCTTGGTTCATACGAGTTGTTAAAAAGACTATGTATTTCACAGAAGACTTTGATAATATATTTCTTTCCTGCATGTACATAAAAATGTTTAAAGTAGTAAAAACTTACCAAGAGAAACAGTTATCCTAACATATCCCAATTTATACTGACCTAATGTGAGAGCTTTTTTAACATCTTCGAAAACTTTCATAGAAAGCTCCCAATTTCTGTAAAGTGGATAACAAAGTGATCTTCGGAAGCATGCAGTAATAACTTCATCCACAGAAGTAAAATTCTGAAAATATTTGATAGATTAGTCTTTTAGATACCTTTTCACAAAAGAGACATCATCACTAATTAATAAACATACTTGGAACCAACATAATGTAGAGCTTAGCTTATTAATGGTCCAACTGCTTTCTACAGTATTTTCTCCTAATGTAGTTCGATGGTTGTAACAACTGGCATATAAAATATCAATAAGATTTAAACATAACTTTTTTATATCTTCAGCATCTAATAAATATTCCTTATTTGGAAGATCTTTTAATAGATCAATCTCAGCTTCGCTAAATGTAACTTTGTCTTTCTGCAGCATATCCCATTCTGCTGTATACGCTATATATGATTCGGTACATTCTGGCTCCATAAGATCTGCCATATAATGTTCTTCATTGAAATCTTCCAATTCACATTTTTCTTGCAAACTTTTTCTTTCTGCTTCAGGAGTTGTATCAGGGGTGGGAAGATCTATTATTTCCTTAATCCATGCTGCCTTAAAATTTCCCCCCAGGAAAATATATATTATTATTATACAGTATAATCAATTTAATTTAATCTTAATAAAAAAATCTTTGGAAAAGATTCATATCTTACATGCTTATAATAAATGAATTAACAATAAATTTTATCACACAAGAGATAAAATATTATAAAAATATACCTCAAAAGCAGTTAAAGCTCCTGATATTTTATTCGCAAAACCATACTTTGGAGAGCCTATAAGAACAGTTACATTTTCTGATGGATTATTCTGAGGTATGAACCAGTTATCATCAGGATCATCATTATTTGTGGTATCATTGTCATTTAAACTGTCGTCAATATTCGCTGAATTTGTAGATGGATTACCTAAAATTAAGTGAAAGAGATACATCACAAACTATATATACCATGCTATATTATATATATATATATATATATACACACACAATATATGTCTAGAGAATACAAAAAATGTATATTTTTTTATATCATGTTTATAACTTACCAATTACTTCAATATTAGGAATGACAGTACTTTTCTTTTTTGGTGGTGCCAAAAGAACAGTTATCATATCCAAGTTTTCAAAGTGTTCTCCCTTATTCACTTTTGAGAAATGTAAAGTAAAATCACCCTTTTCGCAATCGTAAGAACCAGAAGACGAATTATTTTCCTCTATTTCACCTGGTAATTGTAATCTACGAAAATCATTCAGTATATATCCTATATATAGAGATCAAGAGATCACTCGCAATATAGTCAGGTTTCTAGATGATGGTTTTAATTCGCGCAATTACCTCAAGTAATAGGGAGTGGAAAAAAATCTGAAATCTGTTCCATCGACGTATACTTCTGTATCTTTTATATTGGCATACGGAGCGTGCATTGTTATCGTGACTTCTGCATCAGTTTGAGTGATTTTGAAGCGTGGAGTCAACATTTTGCGATGCTCCCGTGAATGTTACGAAATTCTTTTTATTTAAACAATATATGTATATACTTTATTATACAATGAGCATATATGCGTATAATTAGATAAATAACGAAAGAATTCTTAATATAACATATACTATTCGCAGCTCTGACAGGACATGACACACGCCATGCATGGACGTAGAAAATATCTGGACGGAGCGTGAACTGTGAACAGCGCGAAAAAGATGACATCTTTAGATCGTGATTTAAGAAATTCCCTAAAGAGCCGTCATCTATCATCTAACTCTTTCC